TAGTTCATCCTGGTAGTCACTCGCTGATAAAATGTCAGAAATATCAATGATTGAAACTTTTTACTGACAAACCTATAGAAGTTTGAAGAAGAAGAATTTTTTCCATATTATCAACTTAATAGAAATAGAAATACTTATTTTATAAACGCCGTTTAGTTTCGGCGTTTACATTTCAATAGGCTAAGAAAAATTAATCATCAGTATGAGGTTTTGTGGGGATCGTAGTAATTTTAATAGTTGAATTCACGAGTAGATCTAAGCTAGGTCGCCATTGAAAATCTGGAATCAATGGACGGCTAGTATGGGACTACTCAGCAGACACACGCACGATATATAAAGATCTAGCTAAGATTGATTAGTGAATTCAACTGCTAAAAGAATTATTATCCATTAAATAAATAATTTTTTTTTACAAATAAGACAGGAAATTTATATAATTTATACTGAACACTAACTGGTCGAGAAAGTAAAAATTTGTAGTGGAAATTAATTGATGTCCAATACTGTAGACCAACTGTTTCAACAGCATCGACAGTTCATTGATATGTCGTCGTTACACATTTCCTCACAAAACTGTTCATTATTTGTATTCATGATTATGATAAAATTCATAATTAAGATTATAAATGTTCCTATATGACATAAGAATCATATACTTATTCGGATCAACTGAATTTTCAGCTGAGTAGAACAAGTGATTAACGAACTTCATCTGACTATTTTATTTTATTGAATACAATTCTAGTAGGAAGTCCATGTTAGTTTATCTTGAACAATCAGTGTCTTATAAATAAAATGCTATTTTTTGAAATCTTTATTAAACTCCAACTAGACTTCGTCATAATGTACACGACTGTACTATTATCTACAAATTCTTCATGAAGATGTCTAGTTCTCTAAAATAAAAGTATATAAACCGTGTCATAAATATCATCCAATATTAATAGTTGGTGAATTTTCTGAAAACATTCAGTCGTATTTTATTTATTTATTTAAACACATAAATATTGGTACAAGAGGGCACCAGATATATATGCGCCACACAAAACAATCAGAATGGGAAGAGAAAAGGGGTAAGATGCACATTAAAAAAATAAGAGTAATGATGGAGAAACTGGAACGTACAATTAGAAGAGCTCTTTCAGTTAAGGAGGCTATGGCCCCTCTTTATGAAGAAAGTAAAAGATTGCAGAAGGATCGCCATTGGCTTCTATTCTGAGCCATATATGTTAACGTATTTAGTCACTGTGTTGCACCATCTCTTGGACCCCATCCAAGGAGTCGTGAAGAACTAACATTTAGTCGTATAAATGTTTTACAACTGAACACAACCAGTAAACAAATCTTTTGTAATCAATGTTACATCACACTTTTATCATTTGGAAATAACTGTTACTCTCTACTTGTAATCACAAACTAGTCACTCTATGATGTAATTAAACTGGAAAAGTTTTAAAAAAACAGAACGATATTTTGTTTGTCACCAACTGTGAAATAACATTCCTACAATTTGAAGGGGGTTTTGTGGAGATTTTAGTAATTCTATTTAGTTGAGATCATGAGCCAATTGTAGCTAGACCACCATGGAAAACCTGGAAGCATTGGACGACCGTTTCGTCCTCTGTGGCTCAGTGGTCTGGAGGTTAAGCGATCGCATGCGAAAGTGTTAGGTCGTGGGTTTGAATCTCGCGAGGCAGGATCGCGGATGCGCATTGACGAGAAGTCCCACAATGGAACGAAGCGGCCGTCCAGGGCTTCCAGGTTTCCCATGGTGGTCTAGCTTCAATTGACTCATAATGTGAACTATTTAAAATTTATACAATCTCTTGTTTTTAGAATATTAAGGCAATACCGAGGCAGTCCGATTAAGGTGCACATACGTCAACAAGAAACCGATCAATCACAGTTCTAAATAACCATTTGAATATACAACTAAACAATACAAAGTGAATTAAAACAATCAGTTTAGTGTTTTGATCATTTTCACACTTAACAATAAAAACAAACCAACTAAATAGACTTTCTTTCTTAAATTTTTCATTCATTTCATAGTATGTTGAGTATCAATTGATATAACTAATCTTTCTAGTGATCTTACCAAATTCTCTTAATACATTTTGTTTCTTTTATTATTTCTAATTACATTCAGCTTATATGTAGATATAAGTATACATGCGAATCTGCTGAATAATGTGTTTGTAAGGCTATTTGATTTGAAGAAAAATTTCAAACGTTTAGTAAATGAATCCATTACAGAAAAACTCTTTTTTTTTTATTTAGTAGAAATGAAACGTTGAATAGTTTGTTTGTTTCGAATACAGATGAACACCTCAACAATCATCAGATATTTTTTAATAGTCTTAGCTAAATATCTCTCAAACGGTTGCTTAAGTGGAAACAAATTAATGAAATAATTACTTCGTACATATGTATTTGTATATGAAAGATATAAATTATTTTACAAGTATAGGTAATTTCACAAAATATAGGGTATTTTAAATGATGTCATCAATAAAGTAACTATAGAAAACATTTTTAAATAAATTAATATATTTGTAATATCCCAATGAGTAGAAAAATTAGATTTTCTGACGTTTCGTGACTTAGTGTAAGCCACTTCTTCAGAGAATAAATACTTGGTAATGATACTTACAAACTCATTATAGAAAACATTTTTTTCTAACCCATTTTTGAAATGTTTGGGCAGTAAACTAACTTCATTATGCACTTTGTAACCAATTCAGTTTCACTTCAAATAAATAGTAAATAAGTGAAAATATTTCAGTCGTGTATTACAAATGTTGAATTTTGTTAAGGTTTACGGCGTTTATATTCGTTAGACAAGCAGGTTGAAACATACCATATTGATAATACTTAACAAGGAATATATTCAGAGTACATATTATCTTTTTTAAATATCTACATTTTACATATCAATGAAAGTTAAGATAGTTAATAGGAAGACAATAAATAAAGTTCAAAGTCCGGTTTATTCAAAACTGTATTTAAACTTTGAATTTAATCAATCATAGAGTTTTAAACCAATGATGATAAAAAAACATTGCTAAAATTGTTCAAATACATTTTGTTGCTAATCATTTTCGATGAAACATAGATTTTATTTCGATAAACACTTTATTTATTGAATGATTGCCATTGTCAAAAATTTAATCGGTCTAAATGAATTGAAATCATGGATGTAAACGTTAATTACTCAACATAATGGTTATCAAAACATTCATTTGTTTGAACGTTCCGATTGATGTTTAGGACTGCAACAGGTCAGTCTGTAATTGGCAAATGTGCATACTGTGATTATTGCCTCGACATAACTTTAATTCAAAAGCATTGTAAGCAAAGATGGATAGTGGCTAGCAGTAGAATCCAGGACACGCGTTTCGTCTTATTTCGGACTCGTCAGAGAGTGGCTATCAGGACTCAGTAGGTGAGTGGATAACGCGATGGCGTTTGTAGCAAAAGGTACTGGGTTCGAGTCCTAGAGTGAACATCAACTTTGAGATGCAGGTACATCCAACTGAGAAGTCCAAAATAGGACGAAACGCGCTTCTTGTATTACACTGCTAGCCACTATCTATCTTTGCTTAAAATTCATTTTTGTGTTTATTAGAATTTAAGTTGTAAATAAAACTGACAAATAGTAAATACTGTGCTTTTGAACATCATAGCACATCATTAAATATAATAGTTTCTTTTAATGGGATAGTCACCTTAATCAATCGTCTTGTTCCGATGCTCACTGTTTTTCAGATTTAAGACATCCTACTTGAACTATTTAACAGGTTGGGTTCAATAATGCCGAAGGTGTTATAATGGAAATTTTTTATCCCCGTACTATAACATTTAGAATTCGAAATTTTGTGAACATCGTTGATTCTCAAAAAAACTGTCTCATATAACGTCAGAAAGTACAACGTTCAAATTCAGGATATTCAATAATGAGATATACAAAAGTACCCTTATGTTAATACTCTGTAGAAAAGAACCTAAGATGATTCTACGATTTTTTTCCTTCTAAACAATCACTCTGTCTTTACTTATAACTAGTTAAAATTTTCAATGGGCAATTTGAAAAAACGTAAATTTGGGAAGTAAAATGACTTAAGAGTAAATAACGGCTTTTAGATCATAGATGCGTTGACAAATATCGACAGATCATCTGCACAACTCATGATAACTATTCACTTTAAATATTTACTATTTGTAGAAATCATTAAAGTTAAATATGCTTCCTTAGACCATATAATGAACAAACGAAAACTGGTGAACTTGTAGTTCATTTGTCTTTTGAAAATTTCAATTCTGGTTGAGTATAATGAATTTTAAGCTTATTTAGAATATTCTAAGTTTACGTTTCGCTCCAATAATTTTGTTGTGTTTTCCATGACCTGTTATTCAATTTTCCAAAAAAAACATTATTTTCAATATATTCGGTTTACATTGTCAATAATGCTATAAACTTATAGTATACACATATATACATAATGGAATGATCATATGACTTATTCACTTTTACATTGTCTTATAATTAGTAGATGTTACGAAGGTAATAGTAAAATGATCAATTAACATACATACTGACTGAAACACACAAAAAGTAGTTCTCTTCTTTTAAGATAAGACACTTGTCTTATCTAATGATTTGTCTAATTATGAAATACAACAACTACAACAAAACATTATCAAGATTTGTTATGTGTCTAACAATATTTCTACTAATATTCCCCCTATTTTTCAATGGACTAATATTTGAACGAAGAATATTCTTTTCGATAAATTCTCTTCAGGTTCTACAATTATATATCCAAATTAATAATCCGAAAAATGGCTAGGTTAAAGGCAAAGTACATCGTTTAAAGCATGTAAATTGAGAAATGTCAAATCAAATAGAATAAAATTGTTAATGTTGATATGACTCATATAGAAATCATAATAAGCATATAGTAATACATAAAACCCATTTAAAAGACTTCGGTACTTACCAATTAATAATGAGATTTTATCAAATTACTGGTATTTTTTAGTATCCTTAATAACGTGTTAACTAGTTTGTACAGATTGTGGAAGTGGGAACAAATCACTTAACAAATGTTTTTTAAGAGATATGCGTGTTTGTCTATAAAACAGTAATGTCTCAAACTTCTTTTCTTGCTCAAATGATTACGTGAATATCGATCTTTATCGATATTATTCAACAGCCCACAATATACAGTAATCACTGAATTTCAGACATTTTTTTTCAATTACTATTGAGTACGTTTAGGTTTTCATGAAGAAGGTGGCATCAAAAGTACATAAGATTTACTTGACGATTTTGTTTAAAAAAATAATAATTTGTAACTTATTAATTTCAATTTTTTTAATTATTACAAGTGAATTGTGATGTTTACCAATGAATTTGATTGGTTGAAAGAAATTCTTTTAAAATGACCAATGAAAAATGAGCATATCTTAATTGGAATCTAGCCAATACCGAAAAAAAAGAACATTGTCTAAATGGAAATAATTCTCTTGGAATACTAAAAGACTGTGTCTTTAATTCTGTACAGTGTTTAAACTGTAAAAAAATTAATCTTTCTTTATTACGTCTAAAGTAACCATTCTACCAACTATATTTCAAGTATTACTAAGAAATTGAAAATACTTTTTTTAAAATTCATGAATCTTCATGTGAATGAATCAGTTAATAGCGTAACCAAATGGATTACATAATCAAACTGTGGAATTCAAATGGAAATAATATAGGCAATATTTAAAGCATAATAAATCATATAGATCCACTGATCTTATATGACATGTAAAGATTGTGTACAAGCATCAGTGTGCAAACCTTCCTTAGGTTTGAATAATACGTTTTAAATCCTCAAATCTCTGTGCGTTCCATTTCCTTGAATTAATTTCCCTCGGCTAATAAACAATATTAAATTTAAAAACTATATTTTTTATCTAAAATAAATAAAACCAGGCCTTAAGAAGAACTTGTTTCTAAATAATATTCGAAAATGAAATGAACATGGAACAATAACCTTATATCATATAACAAGTTTGCATTATTGGGCTTTGAATAGTCTTCTAAAAGTATAACATGGTTTATTGTATTTGAGTAAAGACATTCAGTGTAAGTTATGTTGTCATTGACTTCAAGTGGCTTAAATATTGTTATAAAACATAATGCTTCAGTTAGATATAAGATTATTTACAACCTAAAAATTCACATTCTAACAATAAATCATGATTATGGAAACAGTATGTAGCTTTTACCGTTAACCAATATAATTTTGAATGTTCATTCGTAAAAATGATGGTTTTCTCAAATAACGCCACTTAAACACTATTTAGTTAAGGACTAGTCAGCTTGGTGTACCTGCATCCCAGTTTTGATGTTTGCATCGGAGTTCAAACCCAATACTGTTTTCTTTTAAACACCAATCTGCATTCCACGGAGGATATAAGTTTAGATAGTCACTATTTTGTTCAACGAGTATAATGTTTAATTCATTAATTTTGATGAATTTAAATGAATCCATTAATGGTTTTCCATACTGAAGCTTCAGTAGACTTTGTACAGATACATCCACCCGGTGAGTCAAACATAGAACTACATTAACTTCCTAGATTCCACCACTAAGCAAAAATCATATATTCTGAAATATATACGGCGAAAAGGTTATATCTGCGCAATCTGCGCAGGATCCACATTTAACGACAACAAATGCTAATTAAAAAAGAATTCCTTAATATCAAAAATAGGATAACCCAAAACTTTAGTAACTATGATGTCAACATTATTTATCCATAACTAATTTACCTAAACTATATTTTCGCTAACCCGAAAAAATTCAGATAACTATTTGCTTTTATATTACTCTAGAGATTCGAAATATTAAATAGAATTAAGTTATTCGTTTAAAAAAATAGAAACACCATATTAATTAAGCTGATTTACTGGATCACTTGAATCTCGGCTTCATAGTGAAACTTCAAACTTTTATTAATAGTGCCAGTACTCTGTACTATGCCTTTTCGTACAGTAAACGATAACCAGCACTTATTTTGTAACATTACATCAATTATCTCTTTTACTGAGCAATCAACTGGTAGTTATCTGAAACATATTTGAAAAAATATTCCTAACAGTTAGTAACCTCAACTAGTGTTCAAACATCAAAGTTCCTTATCAGTCCAACTTATACAATTATGTTTCCATTCACAATAATTATGGCAACTGGATTTTAAAATATGTGTCACCCGTTTTGTTAAAACAAATATGAAAAAAGGAAATGTGTTTTCATCTTTCGACAATTAGTATCGTCATAATATTGATAATAAATTAGTGCATGAGAACACAGCCAGTACTCACTATTATGTAGTTCAAACAAATTGATGTTAGACAGTTGAAGTTAGACATTAACACCGTTGGATGCCAGCTCAGTGGTCTATCGGTTAAGGGCTTCAGCTCGAGACTGGTAGGTCCTGGGTTCGAATCTCGCGAGAGCGGGTTCGTGGATGCGCATTGCTGAGGAGTCCCATAATAGGACGAAACGGCCGTCAAGTGTTCCCAGGTTTTCCATGGTGGTCTAGCTTCAATTGACTCATGCTTTCTACTATGAAAAATTATAAACAGTTTAATTGAAATATCGTTAAGACGTTAAAAACTTTCTAAGCGCGCGATATATATATATATATCCCCCTTCATATTTTTGACTAAAATAGCTAGTTTCTAGCTAGTTTAGTGCATTATAGGGAGACCACCGAGTTTAGGGTAGTCTCCCGCCTGTAGCTCTTCTAGAGTTACTGCCGGTCCCAAGCCCGGGTAAAGGAGGAGGGTTGGGCATGGGGTTAGCGACCCCATCCCGTAGAAAAGCTAACTCGCTAAAAAAACGCTAACCAGAAAAAATAATTCAAACCATTTAAAATCTGCTCTGGGAGTTGAAGGAATAATGACGTCTCATGATGAAAGCCGAAATTCTTCGGAAGTCACGAGACCGATGCACCTTCTAACAACCAGAGCAACAGTCTTTATAGGTACATGGAACGTCCGGACAATGTGGGAGACAGGAAAGACCAGCCAAATAGCAATGGAAATCAGGAGATACAACTTGGCAGTACTCGGAATCAGCGAAACCCATTGGACACAAACTGGACAACAAAGGCTAGGTACAGGAGAGATGCTGCTGTACTCCGGTCACGAAGGGGAAAATGCTCCACACACTCAGGGAGTTGCTCTAATGCTGTCCAAAGAAGCAAGAAATGCACTTGTGGGATGGGAATCTCATGGACCCAGGATAATCAAAGCATCATTCAGAACAAAGAAGCAAGGGATCACAATGAACGTTATCCAATGTTATGCACCCACCAATGATAGCAACGACGATGATAAAGATCAGTTCTATGAAAGGCTGCAATCAATTGTAGCAAAGTGCTCACGAAAGGACCTCACCATCCTGATGGGAGATCTAAATGCTAAAGTTGGAGTGGACAACACAGGATATGAAGATGTAATTGGACGACATGGACTAGGAGAAAGAAATGAAAATGGGGAGAGACTTGCAAACCTATGTGCTTTCAACAAATTGGTTATAGGCGGCACAATATTCCCACACAAACGCATACACAAAGCTACATGGATCTCACCGGACCATACCACAGAAAACCAGATTGATCACATCTGTATCAACAAAAAATTCCGAAGATCAATGGAAGATGTGAGAGCCCGGAGAGGAGCTGACATAGCTTCAGATCACCACCTGGTTGTGGCCAAGATGAGACTGAAGCTAAAGAAAGACTGGACAACTGGACAAACAGCACTACAAAGGTTCAATACAGCCTTCCTACGAGATGCTGACAAGCTCCATGAATTCAAGATAACTCTCAACAATAGGTTCCAAGCTCTACAGGATCTACTGAAAGAACAAGAAAATACTTCGGAGGACAACTGGAAAGGGATAAAAGAAGCACTAACTTCAACGTGTCAGGAGGTTCTTGGTCCTAAGAAGCATCATCACAAGGAATGGATCTCTCTGGGAACACTGGACAAAATTCAAGAAAGGAAGAACAAGAGACTAGCAATTAACAACAGCCGAACACGAGCAGAGAAAGTCAAAGCACAAGCAGACTACGCAGAAGCAAACAGGGAAGTGAAGAAAAGCATTAAAGCCGACAAGCAGAAATACATGAGAGAACTAACAACGGCGGCGGAAAAAGCTGCAAGAGAAGGGAATATGAAACAACTATATGATACAACGAAAAAATTGGCAGGGAGATATAGCAAACCAGAGAGACCAGTCAAGGACAAAGAAGGAAAGACAATCACTGAGATTCAAGGACAGAGGAAAAGATGGGCAGAATACTTCGAGGAACCGCTGAATAGACCAGCCCCATTGAATCCACCGAACATCGAAGCAGCCCACACAGACCTTCCAATAGATGTCACTCCACCAACGATCGAAGAAGTCACGATGGCCATCAGACAAATCAAAAGTGGGAAGACGGCAGGACCTGACAATATACCAGCAGAAGCACTGAAGTCAGACATTGAAATAACTGCAAACATGCTTCACCTTCTATTCAAAAAGATTTGGGAAGAGGAACAAGTGCCAACGGACTGGAAAGAAGGATATCTCATCAAGATACCAAAGAAAGGAGATCTGAGCAAATGCGAGAACTACAGAGGTATCAGTTTGTTATTAGTACCAGGAAAAGTTTTCAACAGAGTGCTGCTGAATCGGATGAAAGACGCAGTAGACGCAGTAGACGCCGAACTAAGGGATCATCAGGCTGGATTCCGTAATGATCGGTCGTGCACAGACCAGATTGCGACACTACGGATCATCGTTGAACAATCAGTTGAGTGGAACTCATCACTATACGTCAACTTTATTGACTACGAGAAGGCGTTTGACAGTGTGGACAGGAGAACATTATGGAAACTTCTTCGACACTATGGAGTTCCTCAGAAGATCGTCAACATTATCCAAAACTCATACGATGGATTACAGTGCAAAGTGGTGCATGGAGGACAGCTGACAGGTGCATTTCCAGTAAGGACCGGAGTCAGACAAGGCTGTCTACTCTCCCCATTCCTCTTCCTTCTAGTGATTGACTGGATTATGAAGAATTCGACATCTGAAGGGAAATACGGAATACAATGGACAGCTCAGAATCAATTAGATGATTTGGACTTCGCAGATGACCTAGCCCTCCTCTCTCATACACACGACCAAATGCAGATGAAGACAGCAAATGTAGCAGCAGCCTCCGCATCGATAGGCCTCTACATTCACAAAGGAAAAAGCAAGATTCTCAAATGCAACACGGAGAACACCAACCCAATCACACTTGACGGCGAAACTCTGGAAGA